CCTAATATACTTGAATAAAAACATCGCAACTCCCAAGATAGGGACTTTAACTTAAAAAAAAAAAAATAATAATAATAACCTTTCTAAATTGTGGTGCTACTTATAGATGGACTGGTATAATAGAAAAAATTAGAAACTATTTGCCTATTCTACATATTCATTAGCAATGCCTTTAACTAGAACAACAATGATGACTGAAAGTCATTGGTGAGTACTAAAATATAATTATAAGTATAATTATAATTGGCTATGCTTTGATCAATTTACACAAATTATTGTTGAGCAGCTAGTAAAAGATTTCACTATCCAGTTAACTCAATATAACTCAAACTACAGTTTTCCATCATGGTAACAAGTATTCAAGAAAGATTGAAATAAATTAGCAGATACTAATATCGAATTCAGCATGAATGAAAGATATTATATTGATGAAGCTAATTGGATATGTTCCTGTCCAACATATTTGCATAGTTGTTATCTTATTTGTAAACATTTAATCGCAAAAAAAATGAGAAACTCTTTTTACCTACTTTTCTAGAAACAACATGTCATCATGACTACCCTTTAATTTTCTTTGGTACCGACAAAACACAAACAATCTGTTAAGAAAATGATCTATGAAAAAAATTTGGATCTGTAAACATTGACCATTCTAATAATTCACAAAGTATTGAATTAATAGAAAGAAATAACACAAATGATAAATTAGAGATAAAGTTAACTTACTATAAAAAAATCTTTGATTTAGCATTAATGCTATATGAAAAAGAGAAAAATAATATTAATTTCATAAAAAACTTTGACAATCTTTTAAAACCTATTGTAAAAACTATCGAAGGGTATGAAAAAAAACTAAATGCATATATACAGCAAAGAATATAGAAATCAAAAAATGATCTTGTTTTCTGATTATGTTAATTTAATAGTATTTTTGCTTAAAATAGCTATTAAGTATCATTTATAGCCTTTATCTTATAATGTTGTAAAGTCATGACCTATTTGGCCAGTAATAAAAGTAAAAAAAAATTAATAATTTTATAAATTACATATATAACATTTGGTGATTTTGTTGAAATTAATAATAAACTAATCCAAATTACAATGATCTTATAATTACTGTAAATTAAATTCATAGCAGAAGTTAGAAGTAAGTATAAAAAAAAAGTCAAAAAGATAAATAAAAAAATTATAAGAAACACTTAACTATAATTTCCATGAACTTCACAACAAGACTTCAATGCTTAAACCAGAGATAGTTATGCATTTTTAATGCAATGTGTTGTCAGAAAAAAAAAATCAAAAAATTCGCATACTCATTAATTTCTTTGTTCTACTACCTATACGTTTTTGATAATAACAAAATTTAGATAACTCTAAATATAACAAACTTTCATATAACGAATTCTGGATATACCCAAAAATTTAAAATTACATAGGAAAACCTAGTAATTTTCTATACCATTTTTTTTTCTTCCAGAACTGTTAGATCGTTATACATAGAAAGAGTTGACTGTACTGTAATAAAAGATTTGAATTTGAATTTTTCTGATTGGCTAGAAAATTTTGGTTGAATTCAATCAGATCGGAAATGATCGACATCACGTGACTGCCAATTTTTTTTCTGGATGGCTAGGGTACTGAAATTCCGGGTCGGAATAATTCGGAATCATGATCGGCAGAGCGGAATTAACTGATTTTGCCCAAGATCACAAAAGTTTTACTAATGAAACCATAGCTCACTCATAAAGTAAAGCTGCCCAGCTGATAATTTTGGCCCAGAAATGGTTAACTTGTATTGAAGTATTCCGACCCGGAATTTTGGGATCCCCCTGTATGAGTTGTCCAATATCACAGCTATTATCAATTTCTGAACACCTGCTCATTACCCGAAATCTTTTTGGTCGTTCGGTAAATTACAATGCTGACTTCAGACCATCAGTCCGGAGGCACGTTGTAATTTACGGAGTGTTAGGTAATTTACCGAGCGACCAAAAAGATTCGGGTAATGAGCAGGAATTTTTACTGTCACGTGATTCTCGGAAAGTAAATGTTGTTAAGTTAAAAACTTCTTTATATTTAAGTTTGAGTTTAGACTAAGGTTAGAAAGGACTATAGCATAGCAAAATTACACAAAGAAATTTTTTGTTAGAGCTCCAAAGACGGTTTACTAGACTAAATTTTGAGATAAATGCGATCTTTGCAAAACGAACGTTTGTTTCGAATTACTTTACGGGGAAAGTCTACGGACACGTACGAGACACGTGAAATCGCACGTACCCTAAACTTGGATTGGTGATTGGTACGTGTCCATAACATTTAGTTAGGGTAGGGTCATGTGACTGGTACGTGTCCGTAGACTTTCCGTACTTTACGTTACACCTTGATTTGCTGATATACGTCAGAAAATCATGTGACAGGAAAATCGTCCTGGTGTTGTTAATGAGCAGGTATCCCAGAAATTATGATAATAGCTGTAAAATCAGGAACATTTTTCACTTAACATTAATGGCGGCCGCGATTTCATTAGTAAATATTTGAGTGATTGTGGCCTAAATTTTTGTAGTCGCAGTTGGCCGATCAAAATCGTGTGCGGCACTTAGGTTTAATTTACTACGCATTAAAAACTCCAGGCTTCTGTTAAAAACTGAAACATACAGTGTAAATTCAGATGTCTAAAGCGAAGATAACACATAAATCATTATTCAATTAACTTTAGGGTTAAGGCCACTTTAGGTTAGATTGGGCTTAGGTGTTTTTGATTAAATTGCCTTCCTGAAAATTTTCATTAATATTTTTTTTAGCTTGACGAAACCTAAACATGGAGTTATTAATTGTCCTTTGCAATACTAAGTGCGTATCTCGATACAACACATGGTCCGTAATTCATTGTAACACTACATTGTCTCTTTTATGATCTGAATCGAATAATTTTATGCCATTCGAATGCTTTTATTCAGAAGTTTCTAATCGATTTAGATCATCGAATCATAAGTTCGACATAATACCCTCTTCGTTATAATACATCTTCATAATAGCATGTATTGACAAAAAATCTTTATTAAAACTTTTCGGTATCCAAAGTTCGTTAAAAAAATGATCCAGATTAAATTAAATAAATAATTGCCAATCATTAAATCTCAAAGCCACAATGCTTGCTTAACTTTAAACCCAACTTTTGTCATAATTCCTGTATTTTTATTCGCCTCTGCAAATCTATAAATATTATTAAATTAATTATGAGTTATCATAATATAAAATCATAAGCAAATTGAAAAAGAGTCTGGGTCAAAATCCCGACAATCAGAATCCCGACAGACCATAATCACGACAAAAAAATCCAACCAAAAATCCTGACAGTTAAAAATCTTGACAGTAAAAAAATCCCGACAAATTTTTAAGAAACTAAAATAGATAAAAATGTAAAAAATTTTCAATTCTAATTGTTGGGATTTTTTGACTTCGGGATATTTAATTGTCGAGATTATGACCGGCACCCATCGAAAAATATGTACCCTATGATTGGTTTTTCAATGACAAATCCATCTTCGACGTTTCCAATATCCCTACATGCTTTAACAAGCTCATCGACAACTTCATTAACGACTTGCTTGCTAGTAACTCTTTCGGCTGCTTTAGCCTCATTGGTTCCTTTGCCATCTTTATTGCTTAAACTATTAGGAATAGTCCCCCCTGCACCACCATCAAATTTTGTTGCTTCGCCAACTAAATTACTTCGAAATGCTTTAAAAGCCATAAACCTTTTATCTTCGTTGTCAATTTTAGGACTCACTGGTAAAGAGTTTATTCTATTATCACCAATTCCGGTGTCATCAGCTTTATTTAATGGAAATACAGTTTTTTTGATTTCATCGAAGTTATTGTTATTTCTCATACTGCCGCTATTTACTCGGCTTGATTCACCCGATGCTCGATAGTATATTACAAACCCATAATTATCTTCTGGTGTTACACACGATGGATATAATGTTGATAATATATATTCGCCTTAATTATTTTACAATACAAAGAATTTAATTAAATCGCCTCAAAACAATATGACCAAACGGAAAAAAAATAAAAAGTTGAAATCTTACCCTTTTCAATGCAAACAATTTCGCCCAATCCAATTCTCTTAAATTGTACAACTTTTTCAAGACGATAATGAAACGTGCATACATATAATGCTTTTTTGGTTAATAACAATACTTTTTCCTCATACGATTTACTTCGCCTAATATGCACAATTAAATAGTTGTTATCTAGAGTAAGTAAATGCATATCGTACGCTTATAAAAGTAGAGTTCCTATTCATTATTCGCTTATCCATTTATCTATCAGATATCCAGATCTGAATTTATTCGGAAATCCGTTTTACTATTGATATACGAATAATTATTTGAATTTTTGTCAGATTATCCGGATATCAATAGTAAATGGATGTCCGGATAAATGGACAACGGATTTATCCGGATTGAAACTCTACATAAAAATCATAAATGTATTACAGTGTGTTTGGTTCACTTGGAGACAAAAAAGTCCACCCATCAACTTTCTCTTCATTATCAACAATAACAATTGAACTGCTAATATCAACTATAAAGTCAAGTAAATCAGTTAAAATCTCAACAATATTATTTTAGGCCATAGCATTTATACATTCAAATTTAAGGGACTTACTGGCATTGGCTCTAATTTTTGCCCACCTTTCAGCATCACCAGGTTGTGATGCTTCAAACTTTTGCTGCAATTCTTGAAATACATCCAATGAATGATTGCCAAGAAGATAATCAATCGTTGCCTGCATGAAAATATTCATATACAACAAAGTAGTGCGATATTACCATAATAGACATAATAATAATAATACGCATACATATATATATTTACCTGTCTAAAGAAGTCTTTAAATGTATTTTGAAACATTCTAGCCAACGAATTTGACGCATCATTGACAACTCCTTGAAGATTTCGTTTTCCTATCATGGGAGCAATAATTAATTATAAGAATTTCTAGGATCGCAGAATACATTTCAAAAAACAAATCAATAAGAAATTATCAATTAATTGCCTCACCGGTTCTATAGAAATTGTGCAATTAATTTAGCTAAATAAATACAAAAAAAGGGGGGAAAGAAAAGGAAGCCAAATACCTTGTAAAATCACCTTTCAAAGCACTGGTTCCTGCATATTCTCTACTTATAGAATCGCCATTATTTGCCCAAACTAAGAAATCACAGTGCAGCGTTATCATATGAATATTAAAAAAGCATAGCCAAACCCTTTGAATACAATGATATAATCGTATATTGCACTCACCATCATTAAAAATATTTTCAAATTCTTCATAATGTGATATACCACCATCTATGAATTCTGAGATGCCAAGTCTAAGAAGTTGTAGGTTTAAAACTTCTCGTGCTAATGCGCTCTGTAAAAAAAAATCAATAATTAAATGAATTAAATGTACTATGAATTAAAATTGGATTTAAGAAAGTACCTGTACAACATTCGTCCTATCCAAACAATCCATACAATTCTAATCACCAGGCAAGATGAAATTCACTATATCTAATTCTCAAACCAAAATAATAATAATCATGCGATGATAACAAACCGTGCGAAATATTCCCACTTGCTTACAATGAACTTCATTATTGCCAGCTTGCCAGAAATAGCTATAAATAAATAGGATTCAAATTAATATCTGTTAATAAATTAATAACCGATAATAATGTATGAAGAAAAGTCAGATTACCTCATAGAATGGAAATTTCTAGCCAGTGTAGACACTAACTTGGAAATGTTTTCATACTTCATCCCTCTGCATTCTTTATGAAAATCAAACTCGATATACCTATCCAAATAAAACGTTTTAGCACAAATGGCAGTCGAAAATTCATCCTAGTACAAAATAACAATACAAACTCAATATTTTTATTTCCTAAATTTTGAATGGCTTCGCGATAAGTGGTACCAATAATTGCTTCTCTTCCATGGGACTCGACCAGATTTATGCAATTAGTGTACCCATATGTGTTTAATAGACTGTCAAAGTGCTTTGCAAACGCTTCAGCATTTTCATCTGCAGATCTTTCAAGAGTCGGTTTCGGTTTTAGACTATATGGAGATTGAGACCAGAATAATGGAACTATATATAACCAATTTTTATTATCAGAAAAAGATTATGATAATAAGAAGAACCAATAAACCTATAAATTAACATATTATATAATTACTTGAACCACGGACTTGTAAAAATGAGACATCATGATTTGAATCATCAATCTATTAGTATTATAATTTACATGAATCATCGCAAATTTAAAACGGTACATCAAGTTTATTCGTAATAAAGCAATATTATTCATTACCTTAATTGAAAGGATTTGTTCAGTTTCAACATAATTTGCTACAGCCCCTTGTTCATTGACACCTCTGCGCTGATATCTCAGCCCTTCAAAATACCGGATAATTAAGAATAAACATTGGATTTATTACTCATTAATAAAGATTTAAGAATAATCAAACCTGGTCTTTCTCGACTTCTTCGAGAAATGATCATAAAATCAAATACTCGATCTTCAATCTCACAATGCTCTGATTGCACATAGCCTTGCATTAGTGGTAATATCCAAGCATGTAGCTAATAATTAATTTTTTACGCATAAATTAATATAAATTATTTTTTACGTCCTAATGTTATTAGCTCCAACAATTATTACCTCGAGCTCTATAAACTTTTTAAGCATATGTTCATTCCACCAAAATTTCTTATTAATTTGTTTCCATAGTGGCTGATCCTTTAATTGACCCCGTTCATACTTCTGCTGTAGAGAAGTCGTAATATCTATTTTATCGAAATTTAATATAGAGCCATATATCATAGATATCTACTTAAAAAGAAATCTAAATATTTACCAATATCATAAGAATAGAAAAATGCATCCGAACGAAACAATGACGCGATTTCTCTCGTGATCCTTGAATCCATAACCTATGAACAATTACATTTTGTACTCTGAATAATGGCTAAAATAATCAAATAACATTCAAAGCGAAAATAATAAGCTCACTCTCTTTTCAATTGGGTCTTTAACATTAAGAGTTTTTGGGCTTCCAACATCGTTTGCGAAACCTTCCCAAGCGCCAGTAACCTTCTTCGCTGCATTTGATAAACCGGTAGTTATCGACAACTTACCAGTAGATGGTCCTTTTGCCGAATCCTCATTTGAGTCCGCATTCACATATGTTTCGTTGACTGATATTATTGTCTCCCATTCTATATCCTTATCATAATCTTCTGAATCTGATCCATTGGAATATAACGATGGAGATCTTCTCCGCCCGAAGTCTGACCACGCAGTCCTCATTTTTGAAACAAACGCTGAAAGTGGTTGCTTTTTTGTTTGTGATTCTGCTGGTGGTGTAACTTCAATAGAAGGGGTCATTAAAGTAGGTGATGACGATAGATCAACAGTTTTGTCAGTATTTTGGGGGTCTACGATAGTCTCCTCAATCACACTAGAAATATATCGTTGATGCGACCCAGTCGTGCCACTATCATCACAAGCACTTCCTTGATCATCGTCATCCACAGGCCAGGACTTTAAATCAAAATTGACGCGGTGAATAGCAACATTTAAACTTTTTGATAAAATAATAATATAACTTACGTATCTTTCCAGAATTCTACAAGCATGATCAAAATCCAAAGGCAAAATTATAACGTTTTTCACTATATAAACACTTTTACCCTGAATTTGGCCGATATGTTTTCGATCCGTGATCATAACGAGATTAATTGCTTAAGTAACACGCGAATACGAAATGAAATTAATAAATATTCATCACACTTGTGTATAATACTGCAAATTTTCTGTTCGCATACCTGTTAACAATTTTAGGAATCCTATAACTCCATATATATCATAACACCTTGCGTCCTGTGATGCTTCGTAACCATCTAATCAAATAATAAAAACGTACACACACATTTTTCATTTTCAAATATAATTTCGGTATTCGATCCGAACTAATCTCATTCCTCAAAAGGCAACGAACTTATTTACTGGCGAATACCTTTCCTTTCAATTTCTCCGCTTTCCAAATTAATTACCAAGTAATCATTGCCGGCGATCAAAACAAAACACTTTCTGTCTACACACAATGTAATTTTCTTATGCAACGGAGGAGGAGGTGGTGGTGGTGGTGGTGGTGGCAGCTTTGGAGCTTGTAAATTGGGAAATAATACTTTATTAATAAACATGTTTTTCATAATCTAATTCGACGAATCGATTATCATAACGATATGCAAATTTTGACATTATATTGAATTTTTAACTTTAAAATTAGGTTTGCAATGGTGTTACCTGAGACGTAAATTTCTTTAAAAATTTCTGTTCATGAAAGGACTTTTATCTAATTGGCTGATGTAAATAAATTGCCCGGGTAACTTATTTTTTTTATACATAACTAGAGTACGGTCCGATGATGATTATTCTGCAAAAATAATCTTTTTTTACAAATTTCTGGAATAAAAATTCTATTGTTTTTTTTTTGTTAAGTGGTACTCTTTGGCCAGACTTTAGTTCTAATTTTACTACAAGTGGGTGGTCCGCTTATAGGTCTACATTAGTTGCCATACCTATAACTTAACTAGGAAATTATCTATTTAAACTCTATATGTACATCACCTGAATCGATTAAATTTATTACTTTTGGTTTTAAGGTTATTTTACCTTCGATGTATACCTACCTGATAACCAAAGTTTCATATCTTTGATGCTTGACTTTCAATTCTTGTAAAGTTTGTATCAAACCTTAATACTAATTTTACAACATATTCTCAATACTTTAATATCTCGCTTACAGGTCTTTTTAAACTTTCAATTCAAATAGCTTGAAAGGTTTGTGACCTGACCTTGATATACATAATTGGTATGTGTAGTTTTATTCAAATTTTATTATTTAATTCGTTTGTTTCATATGGTTTGTTTTTTGTATTTAGTTTTTATAATAGTATTATTATAGGTTTGTATTATCTTTTTAATTAAAATTTGTAAGTATGTTTTTGTCTTTTTGTTTTCTTGGATTTTTATTTTCAATGGTTTTATTTTGGGTGTACATTAAGTTTGATACTGATTTGCTTTTTTCATATTTTGTATAATGTTGTATAAATGTTTTGAATTTTTAGTCTTGTTAACTTTTTTTTTAAATATTAAGTTAAGTACTTGCAATTTAGGATTTATTAATAGTACATTCAGCTAATAGTTGTATTACAATCACAGAGGACAATCATGGAAAGAGTGTACAATTAGTTATTTATACAATTTTAGTCATTATTTAATTTAAATAGTCTGTTTAAAGGTTTTATACTAGTTGTTATACCTGGAATTTGCTTGTAAGTTTTTTATTTAAATATTTTAGTTTCTGTATCTATTTATTTATTTACATTTACTAAAATATTCCAATCAATATTGGTGCAAATATGTCATGATCATTAAGTCTTTAAAGCAGTTCACTTACATGATGAATTCTTGAATTTGTATTAAACCTTTCAGAATCTTTTGTATTCTATTCTTATAGTTGACTTGGTAACATTATAATAAAACCAATATATGTAATTAAGGTATATTATTAAATTGTTATACCTTTGTAAAATTTATCTTAATTCTAATACTTACTTTACAACATATCTTTATTATTTTAATATTCAATTTAAATTTTATCAAGTTTTTAGTTTAAATAAGTTAAAAAGATAGATACAATTATATTTTTGATTTAATGTTCTTTGATATGTAATCTTTTTCTTTAAAAGAATTTTAACAGTTTAGTTAGTTATAATAGTTTCTTTTCAAAAGTTATATCTTTATTTGGTTTACAAATTCTAATTTTGTTTTATAAGTTTAGTCTTTATAGTAGTATTATTGAAAGTTCAAATTATCTTTCTAATTAGGTTTTTCAAATAAGTTTTCATTTTCTTGGTTCTTGTAATTTATATAATTATAGAAATTTATTATAGGTTTATATCATCTAGTACTGATTTGTATTCTTTTATACAAGTTGCAACTATTATATGAATGTTATATAATTTTTCAATTATGTTAATATAACACAAATAACAAGTATTTAATTTTAACTAATAGCAAAAAACAGTTAATCATAACATAAAAAAAATTTTAAATTTTTATTAACACTGAAATTTGAACTTTAAATCTATTACTTGAAGATTGATAATATAACTATTTCATTATATTGTCATGCTTCTTTTATTAATATAATTAAAATTACAAGTATTTTAATCTAATTAATTAAGAAAAAAATATTTAAAATATTATTAATAGAATTTAAATTTTTAACTTATTTTTTTAAAAAATAACAATTTATTAATTATATTAAGTTATTATGTTTTTAAAATTTAAATAAATTTTATAATTATTTATAATAAAATTTAATTTTTACAAAAACAAATAAATTATTAACAATGGGCCATTTCCAGAAGAGAATGATGTAAGTGAACAGATAATTAAGTCCATTTACATGGAGAACCAAGTTAATAATAGCCAGACTCAACGTACAGAGCAAACTATAGTACTCTTTGCAGCTGTACAAGCCAAGCATATAGTAAGCGAATTTACAAAAGAATTTTCCACTTCCTTGAATTTCATTTCATCATCTTATATCAAGAAAGCTCTGTAAGAACCTATTTACAATACATTATATGATCCAGACTCTTGCTATAACTAATGGTTAACATGTCTAAAGTTACTCTTACTTCCATACCCACAAACACTTAGCTCATTTATAAAACACATCTACCAATACAACTTTACACAATACAATAACTTTAACTATGCATTAAGATTAGCAATCAAACTGGATTATAGTAAATGCTATATACACCTATCATATATGTCTCAATCCTTATCTGATTACTTCTTTTCACAATTATCAGGTTATACCTACTATCCATCTATACATATCCCCTCCAAATTCTCTTTAATTAACAATAATACATTAGATACTAATCTAATCATAAAGGACGATGAATTAGACAACAATTATTCTCAAATAGTAGAAGCTATTTTAGAAGACCATGATGAAACTACTATAGCTAACCGATACTATAAAAACATCCAATTTAATACTTATTATTCTTTAAACTGTATTCCAGGCAAATTTGCCTGAAAAATTAAATTGTATTTAGTATTTTTTAAATAAAACAATAATTTATTAATGATATGGGGTATACTTTGCTTAT